TTTCTAATTTGTTCCTTGAAGATTTGTTGAGACCATATCTTAGAATCTCCAGCCTCCAGAACATACTCCGAGGACACAGGTAAAGAGAGAATATTTTATACAAGAGGGAACAAAGTGCAAAATGCAGCCCAGATCCATGTGTAATCTATGAACTCTCTTGTTCAGATGGTGTCCAATTTGGGCACACGAAATTGAGTACGATTTATTTGACAAGAAGCACAAACTATAAGAGAAAGGCAGGCAGAGCTTGGGTGGTGGAGTTAAGCACATCATTAGTTTAGAACCCATTGCATTCCCACAAATGCTCCAAGTTCAATCTCTCCTGAATTCCATTGATCCTTATCGGATGCCAATTTAATGTTCACCTTATTTGAAGTTTATTGACATTTATTGACATTTGGAGCTTGTGTGCTGGAGAAATTGCTTAAACCACACGGGCAGGGGTATCTGCAGGAGTAGTAAAAATCAAGAGGGTAGCTGCAACATTGCAATCAGAAATCTGCTTGTTTTTTTATGTGCATTGTAAAATTTTGATCACACTGTTGTAGTCACCCTTCCTATTTTTTTTTTACTATAACCTGAAGATAGCCTGCACACTGTTAACAGTTGTCCAGTTTTCTGCAGCTTAGGGAGCTTAGGAAGAGGGAGCTGAGAGGTCAAGAGATGGTGAACGATCTACTCTAGACTAAGGGTCAACCTCTAGATTTGAATCTGAAGATTACAACGACCACTGAAGTGATTGAGTCTAACTCTATACTCAGTGCAGGAATCCAGACTGAAGGATTCTTGACAGATGTCTTCCTAGCCTCTACTTAAACAGTCCATTGTTTAAGAATTTAAACAATGTGGTGCATTTTGGATACGGAGGGAGGCAGCGAAGCTTGGAAAGTTTGGTTGACAGGAAGAAAGTTAAAATGCTTCCTCTTAGCTGTTCCCAAAGTATATCAATAGTTATGCAATTAATTAATTCTGGCAAGAGTCCATCTACGGATGAGTGAAGAACAATAAAGGAAACTACTCAGAAGTAACTGTTTCTTGTCTTGGGGCCTGATATAAGTACACCACTTCTCTGAAGAATTGCTTCCATAGTCAAGCTGTTTTTGTTTTAAGGATATTATTTTATCCTTAACTTAAAAATTCTAATCAGATGTTCCTAAGCATTTGCAACTCTTTACTCTTAGGACTACTTGGCTTTCAGCAGCCGATGATCGGAAATAGAGACATTTTATTATTTGCTTATTGGAAACCATAAATTTGTATTTTGAAAGAATAATCAGTTCTCAAGCTGTGCCAACGAAAGGCTCCCTTAGTTTCCCATTGGTGCCATATTTAAAACATGATTTACAACCAAGTGGGGAGATAAATAGGAGACACTACTTTTTCAATATTCTCCTGAAATACCACTAATGTTAAAAACATATGGCACCTTAAAATTTATTTGATGATCAACCTGCAAAATTATACGTTCTTGGAAAAGATATATCACCTGCAAGCCAACTCTAAGAATGCATCAGAATAAATTTCCTGCATCTTAATTGTTTATAAATAAATTACTAATAGATATAATCTTGATGATAATCATCAACCCAGTTCTGGAAAAATCAAATTTATGATAATTTGCCAGGAACATCGTGTACCCATTTGAAAAAAATAAATGGCAAATATGGCTTCTATCAATCTTTTGTGGTAAAACAGGAAAAGAAAGAGAAACCACAAGAAATATTAGCACTCTATTTTTATTGATGTAGACATTAATAACAGAATCTTGAACAGCTGACAGAGTTTTTCATTTCCCCTTTTTCTTTCCTTTTATACCCACAATAATCAAGAAAGGTCAACAAGTTTCTTTCTCACCCTCTCCCTNTCTTTCTTTCTTTCTTTCTTTCTTTCTTTCTTTCTTTCTCTTTCCTTCCTTCTTTTCTTTCTTTCCTTTTTTCTTTCTTCTCTTTCCTTCCATTCTAAATCCCTCCTGCCCTTCCGCATGAAATATTTTCCTTCTTTCCTTCCTTCCTCTCTCTCCCTTCTTTCTTTTTCCTTCCTTACTTCATTTCTTTCTTTCCTTTTTTCTTTCTTCTTTCCTTCCATCCTTAATCCCTCCTGTCTTTCCGCATCAAATATTTTCCTTCCTTCCTTCCTTCCTCCCTCCCTCCCTTCTTTCTTTCTTTCTTTCTTTCTTTTTCCTTTCTTTCTTTCTTTTTCCTTCCTTCCTTCTTTTGTTTCTTTAATTTTTTGTTTCTTCTCTTTCCTTCCATCCTTAATCCCACCTGCCCTTCTGCATCAAATATCTTCCTTCCTTCTTTCCTTCCTTCTTTTCTTTTCTTTTCTTTCTTTCTCTGGCTTGTAAAGCATGTTCAATGAAACACATCGATGCGGTCGGATTGATCCACCATGGCCTGATTTCTTGAACGATTGACCTCCACTGGATCCTGCTGAGATGCAGTCAGCGCAGGGCCTGACGATGAAACAGGATTCAGCCCACCAAGATGCAAAACCATAAAGCAGGAAAAGACACACCTGGACCCAGACTAATCCTTGACTTACAACCGCAATTGGGGGGCAGCCTTTCCATTGCTAAGCAGTTGCTAAATGAGTTGTGTCTGATTTTACGGCCTTTTTTTGCCACTGTTGTTAAACGAAACCCTGTAGTTGTTAAGTGAATCTACCTGGATGTTAAGTGGATACAGATTTTGCCCCCTTCACTTTGGTTGTCGGGAGTTGGCTGGGAAAGCGTCAAATGGCGATCACATGAACCCGGGAGTCTGCAGCCATCCTAAAATCAAGCACCTGAATTTTGATCATGCGGCTTTGGGGATGGTGGAATGGCCGTAAGTACGAGGACCAGTCGTAAGTCTTTCAGTGATGCTTTAACTCTGAACCGTCACTAAACAAATGATTGTAAATCCATAACTATTTGTACCAAGGCCCCTGAATTCAAGTAAGCCTCCTTCATAGCTTCTTTTTAGGCCTTCGAAGAGATTCTGGTTTATGAGTTAACCTAGATCAAGACTTCATTTTTAAAGGGGAACTAGGAAGTTCCAGAACCCCAAAACTGACGTGTGCCAACATTTGCTTTGTTGACGGTATATTCTCACCATAAATCTAAAATGTCGTCCAAATTAGGTTGATTGGTATTTGACATCATTCTCAAGAGCAAAGTCAATGGGGAAGCCTGCAGGAAGTTGCAATTTAGATGTTTAGATGTTTATTGGCATTTATAGGCCGCCCTTTTCCCTGAGGGGACTCAGGGCGGCTTACACTTAATAGGGAGGGAGTGCAAGACAGTGCAATCCCATGAAGTCCTCACTTAATAGAATAGAATAGAATAGAATAGAATGCAATGCAATACAATAGCAGAGTTGGAAGGGACCTTGGAGGTCTTCTAGTCTAACCCCCTGCCTAGGCAGGAAACCCTATACCATTCCAGATAAATGGCTCTCCAGCATCTTCTTAAAAACTTCCAGTGTTGGGACATTCACAACTTCTGGAGGCAAATTCTGTTCCACTATTAATTGTTCTAACTGTCAGGAAATTTCTCCTCAGTTCTAAGTTGCTTCTCTCCTTGATTAGTTTCCACCCATTGCTTCTTGTTCTACCCTCAGGTGCTTTGGAGAATAGCTTGACACCCAAATCTTCTTTGTGGCAACCCCTGAGATATTGGAAGACTGCTATCATGTCTCCCCTAGTCCTTCTTTTCATTAAACTAGACCTACCCAGTTCCTGCAACCGTTCTTCATATGTTTTAGTCTCCAGTCCCCTAATTAAATACATAATTGGCAGATGAGATCAAATCTTTCATGGGGTCTGCTAACATCTTTTTTACATTGTGGTGACCAAAACTGAGTGCATATTCCAAGTGTAGCTTAATGACCCATGTGAGTCTTGCTACACAACAGCAACTAGAATGGCCAGAATTGCTATTGTTAAGCGACATGCCACATCATGTCACACTATATGACTGTGTTGCTTAGTGACAGTGTTCCTGGTGTCAATTGCCATCATAACCTGAAGATTTACCACTCAATTACTCTATCTCTATCCGTCTCTAAAACTCAGCAAAGGCAGCGAGTTCTAATCCCGTTCAGTCACGGAAGCCCTCCAATGGACTTTGGTTCAACCCAAGAGCCAATCAGATGTAGCGGAGGGAGGGGGCTGCACCAGAAATTCGGAGACCTGTGTTGTAGTCCTTCCTCAGTGAAAGAGCTTCATTGGCTGATTTGGGGCCAGTCCCTCCCTCGTAGCTCAAGAACCAATCAGGAGTAAAAGGGTAATGGGCGGGACTAGGATAGGGAAGATCTGAGTTCAAATCCTCCCTTAGTGCCAGAAGGTTTATGAGCGACTCACCCGGGACTTTCAAAATCTCTCAAGAAT